CTGCCAGGTCGCCCAAGCATAGACAGGGGAAGTCGAGAGGTAGAGCTCGGGTGCGAACCACGGATCTTCCGGTCAGTAGTAAAAGACACGCAGATAGTTAACATGCCTTGACTTCCTAGTAATGGTGCACTAAGGTTAATCAGAATTGTCGAGCGGTCCTGCTTCATATGGGGTCATGACTGCATTGATAACAGTGTTCCCCTCCACTTGTCTCCCGTTCATCCACAGACTGTGGGGTAGGTAGTTACCGCTTCGTAACTGTGGGCAAAAGTAACCAAACCTGCTATCTCAACCGCCTGTGTGTGAACTTATCCTCCCATCGATCAAAATTTCCCTCTGGACTGACCTCGCCAACTTGAATTTGCCAGCCGGCTCTGAAGACAAAAGTTTGAGGAGAACGTGAAGTGAAAAGAACAAACTCACATCTGTCTGCGGTTAGCATCGTACCACTTGGGTGGGGAGGTTACTTCCTATCCTTGGTGCATGAATCAACACTCCCTAATTAGTATACTGCTTATTTTTTAGCCGAGGTCAGTTCACTACAGATGTCCATTGCGTGTGAGCATCGCTCAGTCAACTTAGACCTGTTGGCATTTTGCAAACAGAAAACTCCCATTGGTAGATTTTTTCAACAAGTGGTCCAGGGCACACAAGACCTGCGGACCTGTGCAAAAATCAACAGATTTTATAAACAATGTTCACCCATTTGAAGAGGAAGCACCCAGGTGGGTGTGATTTTTTCGTATCCTCTAAAGATGGTACTCAGTAAAAAGTAGGGCTACAGTATATAACTGAAGCGGAAATTTCTGGATTGCAAAAAGCTAGCCAAAGTAGTAGCCCCCTTAGAAGCATTGATATCAACATGACATTGATGTATCAATCTCCAAATATTGTTAGCAAAAAATAACTCTACGGTGGGACGAAGTAGAATTTCAAGTAATCGTGGGACGGCCCAATGCAACAGTATGTGTCACATATCGATTTTTCAGCTTGTGAAGCTAGTGGACAAGTTTACTTCAGAGATAGAGTCACGTGACAAGCTATTGATTCGCAAAGACCACTTGGCTTATTGAGCGACTGAACGATGAATGTTCACAGCCGAGTCGTTCTCAATAGCACACATCTAACAAGCATGACTGCAGTAAATTGCAATTTAATAACTGACCACTATCTTGAGAACTTCGTTCTACACCTCGAACTCAAAAGAGTGGAAATTATGTAATGTATGTATGTATTCAAAAGTTTGACAACAAGGGAGCTAGCAGAACCTTAAGACCATAGTATTGAAGCGTTAGATGATCAATTAGCAACAGAAACTACTATTAGTCATTCCAAGGGTAGTTGATCCCTTTTTTCTGCTTTTTTCTGAACAGTGAACTTCTCGGTGGAATGTCTTTTGGACTGGCCGGACTTCAGTCGAAAAACCGAGTAAGCCAAGCCATCC